GGGGGGAAAGCCAAACAGACACTTCACAGAGGTCAGGGGGCAAACTGTGAGGTGAGGCCTGAATATTAAGCATAAATTGGACAGGCAGAATGTGGAGAAAAGTGTTCCACACAGAAGTAATAGCATTGTAATAACTTGTTGAGTGCGGTGTATTCTTTTGTTGTTTTGTTGAGGGGCCCATACTGTCTTTTCCAGTTACTAACTTCAGATAATAGTCATCTTATCTTTGCAGAAAGTCAAGAAGGGTCTACTTGCAGGGATACAGCCCAGGAGCCTCTGACAGTTACTATGCTTGAGCCAGATTTGTTGCTTTTACCTATGTTTAAGCAGCAGAGTATGAACTCATATGAAAGCACACGCAAAGTGTAAGGCCTGCATTTTCCCAGGAAGGAAACACAAGGCGAGGGGCATTAGTGTTTTGACACTAAATTACATTCCGTATTTCTTTCATTACTGAATATGTATGAATAGATGCTACTGAGAACCTTTGTTTTTCACAATGAGACTGAGACCTGGGTTTTAACAATCCCTGTGTGAGAGGACGGCTGTGCTGGGGGCCTAAGAAAAACAGCAGACCTCTGTAGGATGAGGAGATTAAAGTCTCAAGCACCCACTGTCTGTGCCTCTCTAGTCCCTGGGGTCTGGACCTTCTTTATCCATCAGGATAATAGCTCTTTACTTATTTACTACTTTGAAGCACTCAGGACATTATTTCAAAGTCAGATTTTCCCCACTTGGCAAAGGAGTAACATTGCTTTTGATGGCACTCAAGACTTCAAAGATTTTAAATTTTTTTTTTTTTTAGCTAAACAGAAGGCCCAAAACTTGAATAGAAGTGAGCCAACATGGTTTTCATTCATTCACAATCAGCTAATGTTAGGACAGTCATATGGATTGACTCCTTATTGTTGTTATGTGTCATCGAGTCGCATGCAACTCATAGCGACCCTCTGTACAATAGCCCTAAACTCTGCTCTATCCTGTACCAATCTCATTGTCTCTGACACACCTACCCCCATTACCCCAGTCACTGACTCAATCCATCTCATCGAGGGTCTTCCTCTCCTGTGCTGTCCCTCCACCTTCCCAAGCATGACATCCCTCTCCAAGGACTGGTCTCTCCTTACAACATGTCCAAAGATGAAGCTTCAGAATCTTTGCCTCCAAGGAGCATCCTGGTCTTACCCTCTCCAGATGAACTTGTTTGTTCTCCTGGTAGTCCATAGTATATTCAATACTCTTCTCCAGCAACACTGCTCAAAGGCATCAACTCTCCTTCTGTCATCCCTAGTTATTGTCCAGCTCTCTGACACATAGCAAGTAATTGCAAAGACCATGGCCTTGTGATATTCTATGCTGTATACTTTTGTATTTCTGTCACACTAGCCTGTATTCCATGAAGTGATGAAATCCAATTTTTAAAAAAATTGTCTTGACTCTGTAGAGGAAAGACCCTAATTGGATACAGGTGGAGAGACAGGGAAAAGCTGGCCTCCTCACCACACCCTACACCTGGAACATCTTCCCAAAACAAGCCTGGGAACCAGTAACCAGTCCCAGGGTCCAGTGGCAGCAAAGAAGGATCCCTCAATGAGAAGAAATAGATTCTAGTATCTGTATCCCAAGCTCTTCTCTGCCCAGCAGATAGATCACTGCCTCAGTTATGCACAAATCTTGACACTAACTTTTCAGTTAGGGTTTCCTCCTACATAGCTCCTCCTTATGCAGCCGCTCTCTGCCACATGAGTAGCTTCTTTCTTCCTTACAATCTGAGCAGTCCAGCTTCTCATCCTCGCCTGTGGTCACGAGATCCCTGAGACTGAGGTTGGGAGCCCAAGCTGTGTGAGGCCAGCAGGTACAACTTTCCCAGAGGTTGAAGAGCCAACCTTCTCCACTCTGCAGCAAAAACAGCTCACTACTTTGCTTCTTTGGATCATAGACACTCGAGAGGGACCCCATAGCTCCTCAGGCCTGCGTCCTGTGAGACACATCTCTGGATATTTTGCTTGCTCAGATGCATTAAAGTAGTAATTAAGCTCACTTCAGTAAAACTGCATGACAGGTCAGATTTTGGTCTCATGGGCACATGCCTGACTCCATAATTCTCATTAGCATGTAGTTGTGGTGCAAACTGAGTCCCCTTTTCTTTTCTGAAAGAAAGGACATTTACTGTTTAGGCTGATAGTTCTAAATCCATCACCAGCCAGCTTCAGATATCTGGTTTGCTGGGGGAGAAGTATTCTTCCCAACTCATTGTTTATACTATATCTCTCTGCTCAAGTTGGTTTAAGACTAAGGAACAAAAAAAGACAACACTCGTATTTCACCAGCAAGCGTAGTTGTTACCAGCTGGTGGCTTCTCCCTGATTCCAGAAAGCAGTAGAGACCACCCGAACCAGTGTGAGAATTGGCAAGGTGGGCGTCAGGAAGCATGGTGAGGGGATTGGAGGAGAAGAAGGCTGGGGTCACTCAAATGCGGTTGTCACAACCCTGCCCATGAAAACCTCAAGGAGATGCCTAGCCAACCCAGCAATCATAAGCAGCTTGAATGCTTCCTGTTACTCATGCATTTTGCACCAGTGAGCCCTTGAGTCATCTGCAAGTACCTGGCGACACCCAGATCTTACCACTCCTCACTCCTCCGTGAAGAGGGAGCAGGTGGGCAGGTGTTCTGCGGAAAGTTCTTTCTGCCTTATTCATGATTACTCACTCGCCCTGGACTCTCTCCTGATGATAAAATAAGTCAACCAAAACAGGGATGAAATTGGCCGTACCAATCATCAGGAAAAAGAAAATCACCTTCCTGTTTGTGATTAAGAAGCCGTGTGATCTGTCGGTGGAGTTGCTGCCAAATCATTATCAGACTGTTTTCCATAAACTGCTGCTCCTTGAAGGATCATTTCTGGGCAAATATGTCATGTAGGCTGAGAAGGAAAAAAAACCCCAAAACCTTCAGATTCCATCCAGGAATTGCATTTATCAGGTATCCTAACAGAAGGAAGCGTGCTTTTGTTAGTTCTTGTTGAGTACCGTTGAGTCAGAACCAGCCCATAGCTGACCCTATAGCCAGTTTTTAGAGGCAGTAAATCACAGGGGAGGAGACTGCCCATCTTTCTTCTGTGGAGGAGCTTGTGGATTCAAACTGTGTTCCTCTGGGCTGGCAGCACAGCTCCTTACCACTAAGCCACCATTATAAATAGCTGGCCTTATTCCTAAGCTGCTAAGGAGAATAATGACAAAGAAACAGCATTTTAATATTTGGATAAAATGTCTTAGAATACACTGTTTGTGTTATCACATTCCCCAGACTCTAGACCGCATGTGGTCGGTCCCAAGACAACCAGTTCCCTGTGATGATCTCATCCCTGATCCATGACCTTAGAGTATCAGGAATCTCAGAAGGTGATGATATTATCAACTGCTGTGCCACAGACAGATGTTCAGGCTACCCTGCACACCCACTGCTGATACTCCTACCAGATGCCCCCTTGATCTTGAGTTTCAAACAGGCACAGCCTGGTAGCTCTCACCTGCCAGCCCGCCCAGGTACAACCAGTTCATCAACTAACATTCATACCGCAGGTGGGCCGTGCAGTGGCCCAACCACCCAGCCTTGAGCAAGGCTCCTCTGATGGGCCCCTGTCTAGATCTGTTGCATAAAGTTTTCAAGAGATGAAGCCCAACAGTCTCTTTTTTTTTCTTTCTTTTTTCTCCCTTTATCATTTTTTGTTTCTCTATATAATTCCCCTCTCTCTGCTCCTTCCCTCTTTTTCTGCTTCTCCTGCAATTCTGATCCACAGTTCCTTAGTCAGTATCTGTCTGGTGTTGCCACAAGGGAACTCATGGCCCTAGAGGCCCCACCTAAGGAGAATTTAATACCAGCTTAAAATTCTTATCGGCTCCTCCTGACTCCAGTGTTGTCTCTCTCTGAACCAGAAATCCGCATCCTCTCCACATACTGCCTGTTTTCTAGGCAGTTTAAAAGCCAAAATCCCATTACTAAGGAGTCTATTTCCACTCACAGTGACCCCACGTATTACAGAGTAGACCTGCTCCACATTGGGTTCTCTCTGCTGTAATTTTATGGAAGCAGATTGCCAGACCTTTTTTCTGCCCTGTCACTGTTGTTGTTGTTATGTCCCATCAAGTCAACTGTGACTCATAACAACCCTATGGATAGTAGCTCTGAACCTTTCCCTATCCTGAGCCAACCTCACTGTCCCCGACTCACCTGACCCATTGCCAGTCACTGTGTCAATCCATCTCATCTTCCTTTCCTGTTGTGATCTTGTACCCTCCCAAGCATGATGTCTTTCTCCAAGGATGGCTTCCTTCTGGTAACATGCCAAAAGCATGTGAGATAGAGTTTCAAAATCCTTACCTCCAAGAAGCTACCTGGTTTCACCCTCACTAGGACAAACCTGTTTGTTCTTTTCACAGTCAATGGTATGTTTCATGCTCTTCTCCAGCACCACAGCTCAAAGGCATCAATTCTTCTTCTGTTACTCTTAATCATTGCCCAGCTTTCAAACAGCCAACCTTTAGGTTAGTAGATGAGTACATACCATGTTTCTACCTCCTAGGACCTTCTAGACTCTTCAGCCAGAAGCAAAAAACAATTCCCTACTTGTCCACCCTTTAAGGTGTGCCTCAAATTCATCCTAATTTTTTGAAATCGTGACAAACCTAGGATTGGTTTGTCCCCAAAATGGTTCAGACTGAGGTCTAACAGAATGTCTGACTAAAGCTGAACAGGCCAGCAGGCTCTCCCAACCTCCTTTCTCACCAATAGTGCTGCACAGTGTGGGGACAGAAGGGAGAGGTGAAAATCCCAACAATAAACAATACCTTTATTGGGCACCATGTGCCCATAATGCGTGGTACGTTGCATGCTTCCATCCACTTATTCACCCTCTGAAGTACCTCTCCTCAGAGTCAAGGTCACCCAGCTAGTCTGGAGGGACCAGGATTTCTGATGCCGTGCTTTTTCCTCCATGGGGAGACAGTGTGAACACTCTACTGGCATCTTTTCAGTGATGTTTTTGCTTTTCTTTTCAGAAAAATGCTGTGATTGAAAGCCTGCAGGAACAAGTAAACAATGCTAAAGAGAAGCTGGTGAAGCTGATGTCAGCTGAGTGCCCCTATGACCCCCCAGGCTGGGCTGTCCCGCCTGCCTCCTCTGAGGACACCCAGGCAGCAGCCTCTGGACCCAGCACGGCAGCTCAGGGGCTTTTGGGTGGCCCCTTGGACTCTCAGAATGATACCAGCCCAGCTGCCCAGGACTCCCAGAGCACCTCAGTGCCTTCATCACGTAAACAAAGCCTCCAGGGGCCTGTGAAGGACGACAGCCTCTCCCCAGGGCAAAAGAAGATGCCTGACTTAAAAGATGTTTCTGAGCATTTAAAATTAGGCTGTAGCCAGAATCCCAAGGCTGAGCAGAGTGGGAGTTCTGAAGGATGGAACCAGGTCCCCGTGGCCCCCAGCCAGAGTCTCATCTCAAGCAGATTCTCTGTTCCCCACAGACAGAGGCAGCTGGAGAACTCAGAGCCCCCTTCGGAGCGGCTGTCAAGGGTCAATTCCATGATCAGAGAGAAGCTTCAGGAAGTGTTACAAGATCTGAGCCTGGGCCCTGAGGCTCCCCTCCCCTCTTCCCCACCTTGTCCCCAGCAGACCTTAAAGAGTAATGCTGTCCTCGGCCCCCAGAAGATGCCCTTCACCAAAGAGCTGGGCTTGAGTCCATATGTGGTGAGGAGGAGGCCGGCAGCTCGGCGGGCCCCCTCACACGTTCCAGGTGCTCTTGCCTTGCATGAGAGGCATCGGGCAAACAAGTCCATTTCCAGGGTGCAGAGTGGGTTGAATGTGCAGAATGTAGACAGCCCTGGCCTGGACCACCGAGCTGTTCATTGCAGGGTCCCAAGACCCCCTTCCAGGAAACCTTTACTTCTCCCAGATCCTCGAAGCAGGTCATGTACCCTGGAGGACAGCAACCGATGTCAGCCGGAGCCCCAGAGGGCTGGAGGGAGTGAGGCTGCCTTTGGTGGCCCAGCTTCAGGTTCTGGCTTGGCCGAGAGCCCAATCTCCCCAGGTTCATCCCGGGCCTCCCTGGAGCTGCCCCCAGGGTCTCCAGCCTGCCCCTCACTCTCTTCTCCATGCAGCTACCTTGACACTGAGTCCAGCAGCTCCGATGAGTTCTTCTGCCGCTGCCACCGGCCCTACTGTGAAATCTGCTTCCAGAGCTCCTGCGACTCCAGTGACAGTGGCACCTCAGACACTGAGCCTGAGCCTGCTGGGGGGCTGGCTTCCTGGGAGAAGCTGTGGGTCCGCTCGAAGCCCATCGTGAACTTCAAAGATGACTTGAAGCCCACACTAGTGTGAAGAGCTACAGAGCTGGTCTGGACACCTCTCAATCCCATGCAAGGGGGACACTGGGCTTCAGTCTTCATGGGAATAGACCAGTCCTTCCCTTCGGGCATTACTGTCTTCCCGCAGTGCTGCAGCTGTGCTCACCATCTTACCAAGAGCATTTCTCAGTCTGTCAAAATGGCATGGCCTGCCTCATTGCTACCTCGAAGCATTACTGTAAAAGACTCCAGGTGAGTGAGAAGATGCTGGCTCCTTGGAGAAAAGGTGCTGAGTGAGCACGTAGGGTGTTCTGTCCTGCCCAGCCAGCATTCTACATAACTCTTAAAACACGGCAGATGGATGGAAAGTCTATGCAAAACTGAAGTTGTGGACTTTCGTGGGAGGTTCTGCTAGGAAGAGAAAAATCTCTAGAATCCTTGGGCCTCCTAATTCTTGGAAAAGGATGGTTTGTTTTGGCTAAAAAATTGCGTGGTGACCCAGTGGTAAGGAGTAGCTGTGCCAACACAAAGGCATGTGGTTCAAATCTACCAGCTGCTCCATGGGAGAAAGATGGATATTCTCCTCTCTTGCATTTCACTATCTCTGAAAACCTGCCAGAGAGTCAGCTATGGGTCAGTTCCGACTCAATGGAAACAATAATAGAAATTGTGTACACCATCTAAGAGTCCAGTTTCTGGCAAGATTCCACTCAGAGCTACCTCAACACCACAATTTCTTACTCATGTCTTTCCACCCTATGACTCCTGTGACAGGGGCTCCAAACGCCTGCAGCCTCCTCAGATCTCTCTCCTGGACTGGGAGGGATGGTTCCTTTAGGCCAGAACATCTCCTGGATTTGAAAGTTTGCAGTTGGGAGGAAGTAAAACAGGCAATCTCTGTTGGAGTGAGAGAAACCCTGTTAATCAAGAGGTGCTTTGATCATGGCCTCCAGACTGCCTGGAGCCATAATCCCCAGGAACTATCGCCCCAAGATAATCTTTAACCTTTCTTAATCCAGAAATATCCCCTGAAGTCTTTTTTAAAACCAAGTAACAGTTTAACACAACTAGTGAAAGATGTCCACTGAGAATTAAAGATTTTCTAAGAACAATTTATATGGTATCAAATGGACAGCAAGTAGAAAGATAGGAACCATAGACGACAGTGAATTTGTATTAATGAGGAGGGGAGAAGTCAGAAAAGGAGGGTGAGGATGGTTGCACAACTTGAAGAATGTGATCAATGTCACTGAATTATACATGTAGAAACTATAGAAGTGGCCTGCATTTTGCTGTGTATATTCTCAACAATATAAATAAAATTTAAAAAGAAAAGATATTTTGGGTGCCGTTAAGATTACATATCCACCAACCAACTGACAAATAAAAGGAAAGGAAAATATAAACCAGAAGGAGGCAGGAAGTAAATCTAGTTTTGAACTTTGAACCTGGCAGAGACTTGACGAATCAAATTTTTGTAATTCCTTATGAGAAACCTGTGGAGTAGACATGCCCCTTCCCACATTCAATATGGGCAACATAAAGCTTAGCAAAGTGGGGTAACTCCCCTAACATCACCCGGTTGGAGTATGGCTAATGGCAGAACTTGCATCTGGCTTTGGTGAGTCTGTGTCTTCCCTGATTTTTCTAAGAGTGGCAGGAGGGGCTTGGCCAGAGTGAAAAGCAAGGGTAGTCTACAAAAGCTGAGAGGTGCTCACTGCAGTGGTGAACAACACACAGGGTTCCTTGCGCAATCCACAGGCCTCTACTGCTTCTCCAGGGGAGGTGCATGCCACACCCCCAAACATCCCAAGGGAGCCAGGGAGCTGGTGCCAGGCACGCATCGCATCTGCCACCGAAGCCACAGGGAGGCACAGCTGGGTCCACTTTGCTAGTTGCTGAGCTGGCTGTTGCGTACAGGCCTCCCCGCCCCCTCCCAGGATGGCGTGAAGGCACTTGGGCCTTGTTAAATGTGCTCAGAGTGGGGCAGTTGGCTGTAAATGACTGCAGAAGATTTCTCATGGACTCTTGAGAGCTGCTGACACCTTGTGAATCTCAGAACCTCCTGCTAGTAAGAGCTTTTTGTAGCATCTACTTTTTAAGTGGAACTCTCCTAATTTATTCTTGTGTGAGTCTGTAGCTCCTGTGTGTGCTGTTTCTATGCTGTCTTAATAAAAAGAAAAAGAAATGATTCTCTAAATGTGTTTCTTCAGAAATTAGTCTCCAGTTGGGAAGGGGCAGCATGCTTACAATGACTGAACTGCTTAAAAGGAGCAGAAACACAGAAGCCACCAGAGTTACTGCTTGTTTGCCCAGGGCTCCACGTGTATCTTTGACCAAACTTGTCACTTGTGATAGCGTCTTCTGTGATCCATATACAGCTTCAAATCCTGAAGACACTTGTCCCCCTGGAAGCCCTGGCCTCTTCCCATACAGTGTAGGTCTGTGGCAGAGTTTTGCTGTCTTTTGTAACAAAATTCTGATGGGGGGCCCTGACTTCCTTTAAAGACCACAAGAGAGAAAATTGCTAGCATCATAAACCAAAAGCCAATTTTTCTAGGAGTGGCATGAGATGTTTCAGGATTTGGCAGGCCAGAGTAAGGGGTATCTACAAACACTAAAAACAGCGAGACGTGTTTATGCCCTGGGCAAGAGCGCCAAGCTCCTCCCTCAACAAGCAGGACTCTAATTCCTGCACCAGAGAAGAAGGGTGCAGACAAACCTTCACCCTCCAACCTTTTTACTCATTCTAACAGCAGCCATCCCTCCCATGGTTCTGTGTATCTGCTGGGCTTGATGATTTGTTGCAGAAGCCACCCAAAGTCCACAGATTATATTCATGTTGTTGTTATGTGCTACAGACTTGACTAAAACTCATAGTGACCCTATGTACAATAGACCCTAGTACAATAGCTCTGAACTGTGTTCTAGCTTGAGCCAATCTCACTCTCTCTGACACACTTATCCTCATAACCCCAGTCACAGTGTCATTCCATCCCATTCTGGGTATTGCTTTCCTGTGCTATCCCTCCACCCTTCCCTGCATGATACCCTTCTCCAAGAAATGGTCTCTTCTGGCCCCATGCCCAAAGTATGTGAGACAGAGTCTCAAAATCCTTGTCTCCAAGACATATCTGTTAGTTCTCTTGTCAGTCCATACCATGTTCAGTACTCTTTTCCTGCACCACAATCTGAAGACACCAATTCTTCTGTCATCTTTGGTCATTGTTTAGCTCTCTGATGCATAGCAAGTAATTGTGAAGACTATGGTCTGGACAAGGCACATCTTAGTCTCTAGACTGACTGGAGAGGTCCCTGACAGCAGATTTTCTTTTTTTAAAAAAATTTTTTTTATTTTGTATGTGTGTGTACCGTCAAATCAGCTCTGACTGGTACAGGAGGAGATTGTCCCTCCTTCTCCATCAGAGCATCTGGTGGATTTGAACCTTGCACCTCTGGGATTGCAGTACAGCTTCTTGCCACTAGGCCACCAGAGCTCCCTGACAGCAGATTTTCCTAATGTTACTCATCTTTTGATTTCTTCACTGCTGGTGCCAAGAGTGTTGATTGTGGAACTTAGAAAGTTGAAATTTATTAACAGTCTAAATCTCTTCTCCATCTATCATGCTGCCAGTTGGCCAGTGATGAGAATCTTCATTATCTTAATGTTGAGCTTCAATCTGTACCTCAGAATATAGCCCTGACTCTCTGCAGCAAATGCTTCAGGCCTTCCTCAGTTTCAGCAAGCAAGGTTGTGCCATCAGAATAATGCAGGTTGTTGATGAGTCTTCTTCCAATCTTGATGCCACATTTCTCCTCATAAAAGTCCAGCCTCTTTAATGATCTGTTCTCCATACAGACTGAAAAGGTATGGAGACAGGACACATCCCTGATGTACTCCCTTCCTGATTTTGAACCATGCAATGTTGCCTTGCTCTGTTCTGATGACTGCTTCCTGGTTCAAGTACAGGTTTTACAAGAGTACAATCAGGTGTTCTGTGATTCCCATTCTTCTCTGGGTTAACCACAATTTGTTGTGATCTACACAGTCAAATGCCTTTGCATTGTCAGTGAAACAGAAATTTTCCTCTTGTACTCTCTGCTTTCAGCCAAGATCCACCTGACATTGACAATGATGTCCCTAGTCCACAGCCTCTACTAAACCTGGCTTGTATTTCTGGTAGTTCTCTATTGATGTTCAAGTCATTTTTTAATAACCTTCAACAAGATTTTGTTTTCATATGATACTAGTGATATCATTCAATAATTTCCACACTCAGTTGGGGGTCACCTTTCTTTTGGAATGGGAATAAATATGGATCTCTTCCAGGCAATTGGCCAGGTGGTTGTCCTCCAGATCTCTTGGCACAACCTGGTGAGCACATCCAGGACTGCATCTGTTTGTTGAAATGCCATAGTCATGAGTATGGATTTATTAGGAAAACAACAGATTATAATGCAGAGTCAAAATTACTCCAGATCCTATAGTTCTTAACTCAGGACTTCTTATACATGTCTAAGGGTGAGACTCTCTTGACTCTACCCTGCTCAGGCTAGTGTTGAAAAGCTCTTTAGTTCTGTCAATAAGTCGGTAAGTTCCCAGAGTAAGCAAGTAGCCCTTGGCTTGAAGTTGCCCAATCTCACTCCATGTGTCAGCAAGTGCCCACAAGCACCTCCAGCTCTTCCAGGAAGCCTCCTGCCTGAAGGCTGTCACTGTTCACATTTCATGAGTTGATGACCCACTGCAGCCACCTTGCTCTGTGAGCTCAGACGTCCAACACATCATCTTGTCCTGGTCTCTTGGTTCTGCTGCTGCTGTGTCTCATCTTTCTCTGCTGCTGAGTCTCATTGTCTTGCTCCAGTGTCACAGCTTTCCTCTCCTCCTCTTTGCTTCTGTCTTCTACAAGGTGTATAGCGCAAGGGCTCCATGTGCAAAGAACACTTCACTCCCATCTTCCCTTCTTAATGGAAGAGAAGTCACTTCTCTACTCTCAAATTAACAATCTCTTCAGCCAAAGAGGAAGGTAAAACTGA